TTATTGAACAATTTGGTATTACATTAATGAAAATGAGTTACATAAATTATTACATGGACCTATAGCTAGGACTAATTAAGTAATAATTTAATTTAATTAAATTCTTATTTAATTGAAAGATATAAGTTGTTAGAAGTTTGCAATTTATCAATAAGGTTTTTAGAATATTTGGTTTTGTATTTATTAAGAAGATTATGAAGAATAAATAATTATAGATAGTTTTTTAAATATTGTATTTGTTTATATCTATAAAAAAGTATATGTTATTTAAAAAATTTACTATCTTTAATTTTCTAAATTGTTTTAATGTTTTTATAAATAATATTTTTTAAAGCAGCTTTATTAAGTACTTTAAGTATTTTATTTCAAATCATATTGAGTTTATTTTGACTTAAAATATTTGAGATTTGGTTTTGTAATATTTAATTTGAGTAATTTTCAATATTTTCCTTAGAGCAGGAGTTTCAAAAGAAAATTTTCTTTATATGTTGCTTAGAGGGTTTTGGTTTGTTAATAGTTATAAAAATTTCAAGAGTAATAATTTTATGATCTGATTCAGATAAAATATCCTTAAGAATATTAGTATATTTAATTAGAGATATATTTAAGTTTGTCTATATTTGGTTAATTTTGCTATTAGAGTTTGAGTGAGAAAATGTAAAGTTTAATATTATAAGAAAGAAAAGTTGATAACTAATTAAGTATTTGAGAATTTGAGATTCTGGAATAAAGATGTTTTTTTAGAAGGTTTCTATTTTGGCAAGGGTTTGAAACAATGTTAAAATCACCAAGTATTATAAGTTAATAGTTAGAATTATTAAATAATAGAATAATTTGTTTTTAAATTTTAGCATATAGTTGTTTTTTCTCTAAGGTTGGAAGCTATATTTGAAAAATACAGATAGAGTTGTGTTTAAAATATAAATCTATGCCAATTATATGACTATTATAATTGTGAGTTTTAGCAATATATTTGAAGATTTTTTTATATATAAAAATTTTAATATCTGCTTGGTAAAAATTTTTATAAGAGCTTTAAAAGCTGTTATGATTTTGAATCTTTTGGTTAATAAATTTTTTTTTTTAGAAGTAAGATGTATTTCTAATATTTCAAAGATATCAAAGTTATATTAATTAATAATATCAATGAATAAGATCTTTTTTGAATATTAAAGTAAACTATTAATATTTAGAAAACTAATTTTTATAAGAATTAAAATTATAAATGAAAGAGATATTTAAAGAAAAAAGATATTATTAGTTAAAATAAAGTCAAATAAATATGATATAGAATAAATAGAATTTGTGATATTGAGGTTGTTAGTATTAAAGTAATCAAAATTTGGTAATAAATTAGAAACTGAATATTGTTAATATGATTTAATAAATAAGTTATAGTATTAATAATAAAGTAATTTAGAAAAAAATACATAATTTGGTATTATACTGTTATTTAAGTTTGTATAAACATGCATTTCAGTAAGTATAGTATTGATAGAGATTTTAAAAGATTTATTATACAGATTATTTTTTAGAAATTGAAAAAAAGTTAAAGTATTTAATTAAATAATAGAATCAGAAAATTATAGTAAGTTAAAAAGATATTGTAATAAAAGAATTCTTAAAGTTAGAAAAGAAGTTAGAATTCAAAGATGAATTGTAGGTTTCTGCAAGGTTACTTATTATTTTAAGCTTAGCTTATACAGTTACAAAAGATATTGTAGTTTTTTTTGTATATTAGACTTGACTGTAATAATCCTAGTCTTTTATATATTATAAATTTGTTTATTTTTTATTTTTTATTTAAATTTTTTTGTCAAATTGATTAATTGATAATTACTGATTATCAAAGATATTAGAAAAAGATTGTAGTAAAAGAATTTGCTAATAACTTTTAAAATTAATATTATATTTAATAAATTATCTTTTAATCTGTAGAGCAGACAAATTTGTTTGCATTAATTTTTTTAAAATTAATTTTTATAATAAAATTTAACAATTAATTTTAGCAAATATGCTTTTTAAGAAAAAATATTTTTAAAAATCTAATTTATAAACTTTGTTAAAAACTTTTTTAACTTTATTAAAAAACTTTTAATTAATTAAAGTTTAAAGATTGTATAACATTAGAGTTAACTACTAAAATATTTTTTAGATTTTCTAAAATTTTATATATTTCTAAAGCTAAAAAACTTTTTATTCTTAAGATAAGTATTAATTTTTATATATAAATTACTAAACTTGTAATAATTAAAATTGTAATTATTAATATAGACTAAAAAGTTGTATTAATAACTATAGATTTAAAATCAATATTTAAAAAGTTTATCATAGATAAACTAAAAACATTTTTTAAAAAAATTTTTTTTAAAATTGTATATTTTTGATCTATAAGTAATCTAATTTTTTTTCTTATAATTTAAAAATAAATACTGCAAAAAAGTAATACTTATTTTCAAATATTATTATACCAAATTTTATTTAAATATTTTAATATTTCAAAAAAGTAGATCAAAGCTAAAAAAATATATAAAAACAGGCAAATTTGTCTGAAAAAGCCTACAGTTTAAGGGATAGAAAATCATTAAACTAGTTACATGTTAAGTTCTTTATAAAATTTAAAAATGAATCAATTATGAATTGAGATTTTTTTATTTCTTATAATGTTAACAACTATTGTAAGATTAATAGTATTAGAGATGATAAGTTAGATTATTAAATATTTTATAAAAATTTAATATAAATAATTAGGAATGAAATCAGCTTAAAGTAAATCAACTTAGCTATAGCTTTTTAGCCAAATTGACAAACTAGCTAAGCCAGCTTAAGCTGTATCATATGACATAGCAGAATTTTTCTGTAATTGGATGATAGACTGGATTTATCAATAAAATTTTTACTATATTATAGGACAATATACAAAACTTAACCAATCACAATAAAAATCCAATATGCTATATGCAGTAAAATTTATGTTTTTCAGAGGTTTAATCTCTATTTCTTCATAATGTTCTGGATGTGTTAGAAGTAATTTTGCAGATTTTTTGATTTCTTAAATTTGTTGTTCTAAACCACCAATATCTGTATATGATTATATAGGTGCTTTCTCAAATTTCTTAACACTAACCTTTAGATTAGTATCATCTTAAAGTATACCACAACAGACATAACTTATTTGGTTTATATAAGTACATGAGAGTAAAAACCTAGAAACTGATTTAATAATTTACTATAATCAGTTTTCAGGTTTTTACTCTTGACATCTCCTCTAAAATCAAACCTACCCAACTGATTCAAAAATTCTAATATAATTCTTTGAATTTCTTTTTCATCATCTGAATTGGAATTATATCTATAATTAAATGAAATCAATTTAAAATAATAAAATAATAATAATAATAAATTAATAAAATAATGAGAATTAAAATTATAAATTCAATCAGAATAAGATTCATGTCTATATATTATTTAGTTTCAATAACATCAATTTTATTAATAAATACAATAAAAGGTGCATGTTCTTTGGCAACATAAAATAATTTATATACAAGTTTTAGACCATCTTCAAGATATTTTTGGATTAATTTTGAATCCATAATATGTAAAAAAATTGCAGATGCTTGATTTATCATAATTTTAACCAAAAGTGTTTTATCTGCATATACAGAGATATTTATTATTAATCTGTAAATATCTTGTTAATAGAAATGTTAAATTTACCTGTTCTTGGGACCCCATATAGGATAATGTTAATTTCACTTATTGGCAGTTTGGTTTAAATTAGCTCACTTGAACTGGTTGGCTTGAGTCAGCTTAATCTAGCTGACTTGAGTTGACTAGCTTGGTTTTTTTTGAACTAAACCAGCTGGATTAAACTGATTCCATCCCTATAAATAATTAAAAATTATGAATTTAAAATTGATGAAATTATTTTTTAACAAAATAAAATATTTTTTTATTTGACAACCTTATCATAACATTAACTTAAAAAAAATAAAGTAAACTTTTTTTAACTGATCTCCTATCATCTAATCTTAACTCAATTAAACATCTATGAAACAAAGTTGAACATCAACTTAAGAACCTTCTCAATCAAATTTTAAGTGAAAAGATCTCCAAGAAAAAATTAAATCATTTGACAGACAATTAACATTGAAACCTGCATGAGGTTAATTTATTCAATGTCAGAATGAATCTGTGATGTAATTAGAATCCAAAGTGACTACACTAGATGGTAATAGCTGAGAATTTTTAGATAAAAAATTTATTTTTTTGATGTAAAAATTTTTTTTATTTTACAATCATGTTACTATTAAAACAAGCAAAAATAATGCAACACGTAAATTGAAATAAAGCTTGTGACCAGAAAAATTTTGATCACTAAATTTTTAAAACTTTTTATTAATGATAATATTACTATTTGCGAATAAAATAAAATAAAAATTTAACGGACTTGCGTGAGATAATAAGATCTAACTAAAATTTTTTTTGTTGCATTATTTATGATTGGCAGTATACGTAATTTGTTTTTGCCAGATTCATTTATATGGTTCTCTATATGTCCAAAAATGGACAAAGTTTCTACACGTACGTACGTACATACGTCATACCTGCATATATAGTCTTTTTTAATCAATGGTTGCATTGAACATTTTTTACCCTTAGAAAAAATGAGTTAATTATTCGTATTAAAAAAAGCTAAATAAAAAATAATTAAATTACTAATTTATGTGTTATTCTTTAATAACATGTATTCGAAGTGGCTAGAAACTAAATTGAAAGACGGTACAATAAAATATTTTGAATATTCAGAATTTAAAGATGTTAAAAAAATTGGAAAAGGTATAATATAGGAACTAGGATGAATTTTTTAAAAGAATTTTATTGTTAAATTTGCATATAATTTAAGGGGGACATGGAATTGTCTATTCTGCTGAACGCAATGAAATGAAAGTCGCATTGAAAGAATTTATCGATAGTATTAATAAAAAAAGATTTGTTAATGAGGTAATACTTCACTATTCAATATTTATTACATCCAATTTCGATTTATTCTAGTTAACAAATTTTATGCAACATACAGCTTAAGCAATTACTTACAGCTAATAATCATCCGAATATTATTAAGTTCTTGGGTATTACCACCGGAGCAAAATCAAGTGATTTAATAATTGTACTGCAATTTGCAAATAAAGGCAACTTGCGAAATTATTTATGTAGTAAAACAAAAGAAAATATTTTTAAGATTTCATGGAAGGAAATTATTCAAATTTCTGAACAAATTATTCTCGGACTGCAACATTTACATGCTAATAAAATTATCCACGGAGATCTAGTAAGTATTAATTTTTAAATATATTTTTTGTTTTTGGATTAATCATATAACTAGGCCATTAAATTATAAATTTCAGCATCCAAAAAACGTTTTAATAGATAACGAAAAAGTATTGATCGCAGACTTTGGTATAGCAAGAAAACTAGACGATAGCGTTATTTCTCAAAGTGGAGGAGGAGGAATACTCGAATATTTAGAGCCTCAGTTACTTATTCAAATGGAAGAAGTTAAGCCAAGCACCAAATCAGATATTTACAGCTTGGGTGTAATATTTTGGGAGCTTACAAGCGGAACTCACCCATTTGCACATGTTCTTAACCGATTGGCTTTAGTCGTTCGTATTGCAGAGGGTCACCGAGAGAAATCTGTTCATGGAACTCCTCCTAATTACGTCAAACTTTATGAGAAATGTTGGGCTACTGAACCAACAAATCGTCCCGAGCTAGAAGAAATTTTACTTGAAATTCATGAGTCAAGAAATGCACCCATAGAATTCATTGTAAATAACATCTCTTCGCAATATAAACGCACTTTTTGTTGCTTGCTTTGACCCCATACCTTGGAGAACTATGCTTGTTAAACGCACTTTTGGTGCTTGCTTTTGATCCCATCCTCTGGAGAACTATGATTCAGTCTATATATCGAGCTGTGATATTCAATACTATAACACGATGTGTTGACTATGATACACTAAAATTTGGTGTCTTATGTTTTTTATAACATAACTATTATTGTTTGTGCAGGGTTTGCATAAATGGAATTCGGACAATTGAAATCTGTCCAGTGCCCAGTGTCCGAATTGTCCTATTAAAAGCAATAAACATAGGATAGGACATAAGATAATTTTTTCATAATTGGTTGATTTTGTCTTCAAACAAAATCTATTAATTTTAAGGTTACAGTCAGAGTCCTTCGATTTTACTAGTAGATAAAATAGCACTGGTTATATTACGACAATCATATATCCAAATCAAACCAAAATTGGTTTATTTTAATTCTACATGCCTATAGAATACAAAATAAAATAAAATGTTGCCAAGTTTTATTGTTTTCGTGATATTGCTTGTGCTAACAATCGAATAAATTTGAAGATAGTTTCTGCGACGATTTATGTTAGTAAAACATTGTCTTTAAAAGTATTGCATAACAATAACATATAAATATGTTATCGTTTGGGTGGGCAATTGATTTGCATTAGCCGATCAGACAACTTCATGAATTTGAGTGTTGCTACGGACACTAGCAATTCTAAAATCAGATTATAGGTAAAAAGAGAACACCTTATTTCGACCATGGAAATTTACTAATTCCACCATGTTTTTCGCATGACTTTCAGCTACATAAACACGACGAACATATTGTCATAGCATGTGAAAATAGTAAATTTTGATGTGGAAATAGACGTTCCCATAAAAAATTCATAAATGATCTATGTTTAGAATTGGCGGTGTTCCATTGTTGCTTACCTTCCCAAAATTAAGGATGGTAAAAAATCGCTTTTATGTACCCGAGCTTCTAAAAGAAGTATTGTAGAATGTATAAAAAAAATCATATATCAATCGTGTAACTATCGGAATCATCTACGAATTTGAACAGTCGCTTATTCTATTAAAGCCCAAAATTTTCCTCCCGCAGTAGTAGTGACAGCAAATGAGACATTAAAATAGTAGTATTTCTTTGACGTTGTATACTAACTTATTTTTCATGTTTCTGTTTACCATTTGGAACATGTTTGAACATTCTTTTTTTCATACTGCGGGACAATATGCAATATAGAAGTTCGTGATCTATTTTTTGATGTTGTCTAAGTAAAGAAAGAGCGCATACATGACTATCAACAGGCATTTTAATTTATTAACAGTATAGACCGAAACTAATATTATATTGCATTATTTCAATAATCGTTAGCTTTATAGACCTAATTTGGTGAAACGAAGTTAAAAATTACTAGTATGATTCAGATTTTAAAAAATAAGTTTATTCGATATTGCATAAAGTAATCTTATAACTTAATCTTATATATGATTCTTAAATATTTTCGAATTCAGATTTTGCCTTTTGATAATACAATAATAATTTTAGGATATATGATTTTTAATTGTTTCAGTCATTTCTTTAGACTGTTGAATCTTAAGTAAAATTTCTTTTAGCTCCGGGCGTTTCTTTGGATTAATGTTCCAGCATTTTCTATAAAGTTTTGCATAACTTGAAGGCGTGCCAGGAACCGTTGTTTCTCGTTTACCGTTTGAAATAAGGTGGGCTAAGGCAAGCTTATTAGAGACTTTCGAGAAAGGACGAAATCCACTTGTAAGTTCCCATAATATTACTCCTAAACTATATATATCTGATTTAGTGCTTGGGATAAATTGAGCTTTGATAAAAATTTGAGGATCAGAATATTCATAAGTCATTCTTTGTTCAAATAGTGACATTAAACTATCATCAAATTTCCATGTTGATCCGAACCCAGAAATTAAAATTTTATTGTTGTTTATCAGGATATTTTTAGGATGCTGAAAATTTTTAATTAATAATTATTTTAAGGTTAATCGGAGAAATTATAGAGGTTTTCAAATTATTTATGACTACATGAAGATTGCTCATCCGAAAATTTTGCCACTTTTTTATGAGTAAATCTAATTGGACTTTTTCGTGATGGGCAATCATTAGATGAGATAATGCTTACTAGATTTCTGTGAACAATTTTATTGTCATGCAAATGTTGTATTCCGAAGACGATTTGCTCTGCGATCTCAATAACTTCTATCCATGAAATTTTAAAAATGCCATTATGCACTTTGCTTCGCAAGTGATCCCTCAAATTGCCGCCGTTTGCAAACTGTAATACCAGCATGTAATCGTTTCCTGAAATCTCTGATTCTAACAATTGTTCATAATTTAAATTTAGACATGATGCAGTATGGATATTATAACTACGCAAAATCTTTTTATAATATTATAGGTAATATGCATATTAATATATTCTACAAATTTGGAACGCTTAATGGTAAATTGGCAAACGCATCCTGTTTGATTCACGGGGTCCATCTTTTTGATCAATAAAAAGGCTCATTTTTTTTTATACTTACCATCATATGACTTAACCCTTCTAACCCTATAATAAAGTGAAGCCTTTTTTAAAGAATTAAAAACGATGAACCCTGTGAATCAAAAAGGATGAAATTGCGATAAATTGTGACCAATGAATTATTTTGTTGCCTTAACATCTCTTACCTGTTGTGATTCCTAAAAGTTTGATGATGTTTTCATGGCAATTAACTGTAATATGTTGTTTTAGCTATATTTAACATGCATAATTTGTAAGCTGTGAATAATTAGTGGAATAAGATATTAAAAATTAAAAATTATTCATATCACCTCGTTGACTAATATTTTATTTTCATGTCTTGTAAATTTTTTAAGCGCAATTTTTATTCCACGGCATTCTGCAGAAAAAACAATACTGTGGCTACCTTTAATTGCATATGTTTCAACAAAAATTATCAGTGGTTGCATATACCAGTATTTTTTTTTAAAAAAACAACTGATAATTACCTTTGCCAATTTGATTGATATCACCAAATTCAGAATAATCAAATTGTTGTATATCACCTTTTTCTAATTTCGTTTTCATCCATTCGTAATACCTTAATTCATGAACTTGTTTATCTGTAGTTTTTTCTAGATTACGCTCATCGTGATGCTTTTTACAAAACTTCAGTTTTAATTTTTGGACCTAGTGGTTTATATGGTTTATGAACCCATAAGTTTTTAAAATAAATATAAAACTCTTATCAAAACTGATAGAAAGTTGATCCACCAAATTTATTCTATACCATATAAACGCGAAACAACGCTCAAGGATGTTATTCAGATTACAGCAAGCATTAAGATTAATTTAGGCCGTAATTCGAAATTACAACTTGTGTATCATTTCGTATTTATATGATAACATGAAGGCTTTAGTAAACCACTATAGTAATATTTAATATTTGATGCTCCAAGTAAAACGTTCAATCTCTCCAAAAATATATCTTATGAACTAATTATAACCAAAATTGTTTTATCCTTTAATTGTTAATTTTTAACCTCTATTTTTTCAAAACCGACAACCTCTAAAAACCAGGTTGCAATGGAATCAATGCAATTGAATGGTGCATAAATTAACACCTATCTATTATAATAGTGATATTTATAAATTGTATAAGGAAAAGTAATATGAAATAGGCGAATGTTTTCTATATAAAATGTTTTTAAATTTCTAATTAAAATATCCCAACAATTATTAAACCAAACTTGATATAAACCTTTTTTATTGTAATTCTATAATTATAAAGAATTAAGATAAAAACTTTTTTTGTTCTAAGATAAAAACTTTTTTATTTTAATTCTATAATTATAAAGAATTAAAATAAAAAAATTTTATCAAATTTGGTTTAATAATTGTTGTGGCATTTTAATTGAAATTTAAACCATTTTATTTAGAAAAAATTTGGGTTCTATTGACCTCCTCTCATATGTAATTTTTGTCTGATAAACAATTTTGATTGGCCACAGGGTATTAGATCATTTTTTAACTTGAGTTAGATGTCATTTTGGCTGAGATGACAAAGATCGGTCATTTGTAATTTGAGTTATTAGAGTCATTTCAAGTCGTATACCATCCCGATTGTGCTATAGCTTCATTCAGAATGCTATTACCAACTATCTCCGTCACGAATATCAATTTTAATCAAGTCGATAAAATACATCTTTTTGCAAAAAAAGCCTACCTTCTGCAGAATTTTTTGCAGCATCTTTATCTATTTTATCTATAGTCAACATTTGAATACATAAGGATAACAAGATAAAATTTTCTAAAAAAAACCAAACACAAACAAAAAAAATTTAAGTTAGTCATATATTCTTATTTATGGAGCACGAATTTTATGGTTTAGTCACATAATGTAACCAAAGATTTTTCGTTTTGCACAAACCTAATTTATCCTTTTATTTTTTAATAATTATTTAGAGAAGTATAATGTTTATTTAACAAAATAAATACCTTTTAAAGGATCACTAATTTTATTTCTCTATTTTTTGACATTATACGGATGGTCGCTCAACAACATAAAATGCCCTCATTGACAATATCCCTTGATTTATGTTGGTATGTATTTTTGTTTATACAAAACCTTTGTGCAAGACTGTATGTTTGTTTGTTTATATATTGTGTTATATAAAAAGTAAGCACAGTACCTTCTACATTTTTCGTCCCAGAATGACGAAATAATTTAAGATTTTGTTGCTATTATTAGTAGGGTAGGGGGTGCTGTGATTATTTGGGTATATATTTTATATCTAATAATTTTAACCGAAGATTTTTTTTAATTTAACGATATAATGACTATATTAACTAAAATTAATAATAACCATTAATCCGACCATTAGATAATGCAAAACGAAAAATCAACTTTGTGTGGCATAATTTTTGTTTTTTGTTTTTGTTTTATTTTTTTAGTACCTAGCTTTTGCGTATCGTTTGTGTATCAATTTCAGATTATAGAACTGAAATCAGTTTTCTACCTTACAATTTATCACATTTTATACTAAATATTACAATATTAGGTCACGTTTCATTACCAATAGTGAGGTTTGGAAGAAATTTACCAACTATCGTTACTATTGAAAACCAATATTATGAGTTTTATACCTCCTTGGCTAGTCTATTAGTTATTAGAAAACTGGCACGCATAAAATAATCGGCATGTCACCCTGGTATGCAATAATAATTTTTTTTGCGATTTTACTAATAAAACATGCCTTAATAGATTTTAAATGTTTTTACATGCCTTAATAAATTTTAAATATTTTTACATGCCAACACGCTACCATGGCATGCCATTGCAGCATTCTTATGATTATTCTCCCAGTAAAAAATTTTTTGTCAGAATGATATCCAGATCGAACATATCGGAAAATACAGATTCATATGTTCTGCGTCAATCCCGGATTTTGTTAGTATCAATCAGCCTCAACAGGATGAACCGTCGATGTTACACAACTGATTCTTCACCCGGTGTGCAACATATAAAAAAATCATTTTACAATACCAGATCATTCCGCTAGTACATGTTATGATTATAATCCCACACCATTTTATTATAATAAAAATGGTGTGGGATTATAATCATAACATGTACTAGCGGAATGATCTGGTATTATAAAATGATTTTTTTATATGTTGCACATCGGGTGAAGAATCAGTCATGTAACATCGACGGTTCCTCCTGTTATCAGCCTCTAATTTCGCAGATAATTATTGTTAATTGCAACTCAAGCTTGTTAAAGTTTTTTACCAGAATTGTATTTTACATTTATTATAAAACTATAAAGTCTACTGAATTTTTTATATATTTACAAAATAAAAAACCTTAAGCTCATTAAAATGCTTCAATATTATCTTTAGATCACTAAAACATGTATTATAAAAGAACAAATAGTTTGCCAATTGTAAAATGATGTACGTTATATTCAAATTAACATTTGTGTCAGATGTCTTTTTGGCCTGTATTATGGTTAGAGTGTGGCCAGGATTTGGTTATAGTTTAGGTTGATCTGTTAATTCTGGTCAAACGACCATTATGCATACGATCATCTTTTTCAGCGATCAGTACAATAAGAAAGCATGTGAATGCATGCATAATAATTAAGGAAAAATGGATGTGCATAAGATAAAGATTAGTCCATAAAAGTTTAGTATAAATCTGAAACTAAAGGAGCTTAACGTTAATGGGATCAGCCGGTCCTAGTTTGAAACTAACTTACCCAGACTTTCACTGATCGACATTTTTTTAAAGTCATAAAACGGTACATTAGGTCAGGTTTATAGTTATAACCATACTTGTCTTATACTAAAATTTTGCAATGAATTTTTTTTTGCTAAAGCGCAGAAGATGGTTACATAGACGAAATTTTGAGTTACGGCGGTTTTTTTAGAAAATAGTAGTTTTTGTTTTGATTTCACGGTACACCTGATCTTGTAATCTAATTGTCAATCGCTGTCGATCAGTGAAAATCTGTCGGTGCCACTGGGGTAGTTGTTAGGAACTAGTTCAGAACTTCATCTGAAACCGGTTCAACCCTTGTGAATCAATTTGCACGTTTGAAATCTGTGACAGGTTATGTTGATCATTGCTAATAAAATCACAAGACCATATGTAACTTAAAAAATTCGAAAAAAAAACATTGAGAAAACAGAATAATTCAAGATTTTGCTATAATAACCACGGATTGGTTTCTAAATAAATTTCTTAGTACGAAATTTTAGTTATATGAGTGCATTTAAATATAGGTTATTACCATGCTAACTTCTCTGAAACAAAAAAGGGATTTTGATTATTTTTAATAGTGGAGCCCTACAACCCTAATAAAACTTTATTTATTGTTTATTCTTCGTAGTTTTATTTTTTTAAATCAGTACTTTAAACTGTATAAATAATGCCAAATTAAATTGATTTAAACAGCCAAACATACGAAAGTTTCCTATGGGATCGACATAACTTGTCACAGATTTCAGATGTGCAATAAATTATGTATTAAATCCACCAATTGAAGCATTCGACACTCGATTAATTTCATGAGCGGTCCTTAAAAAGTCTGGTCTGAGCCCGATTTTAGTGGATCACTTAACATCCGCTCTTAACTAATCATTATCAGTATTTGACAATCTTGGATGCCAATAATAGAAATGGGGTGGCAAATTTACAAAATGTAGAATGAATTATCGTGCGTCGGCAAATCTCAAATCCGACTAGTAAGAATTAACCACTACCGTAATGATATTGAAGTACGTATGTACTTAGCAATTTTTTTCAAATCGGTTTTAAATAGGTAGGCAAATGGTTTAAATCAGTTTTTATTGCTTGAAAAAAATTATTTGTTTAAAAAAAAAGTCAAGTAACTTGCTATAAGTATATGCACCGTAAGAGCGAGTGACATTACTACAAAAAAAATATGTTGCATGGCCGAAGCTAAAATTTACGGTGTGATGTTTGAGTCAAAAGTGACATCATTTGCGTTTTAGAGACTGGGAATTAACGTTTTAGATACTGTAGTCTGAGTTTTAGAGGTTTCAAGTTATTCGCAATATAGATCATTTCTATAAAAGGGAGTTCTTAAAGCAAGATTAAGGTTAGGTTACTTTTTTGATGCAATTAGTTTATTATTTATATATAGATATCAAGAATACAATTTATGCGTATATATACCAATATGTGACATTAGAAAGCTTTAAAATTAGATTATAATCAATTAAAATCTAAGAATTTTAACCAATTTTTATCATTATTGATTAAAATTGATTGGATTTATTCAAATATAATTTTTTCTGAAGCAAAGGTAAGATTTTGCTTATATCTTTATTATTGCGCTTTTCAAATTACTGTGATCAGCAAATTCCACGTATCACACTGGGAATCGGAAATCTAAAATAATGCAAATATGTGATTGGCTAAAACTTTTTTCAAACCAATCACAGATTTACATTTATTTTAGATTTTTGATTTCCATAAAATTTGTTGATTACAGTAATTTGAAAAATGTAATAATTTGTTGAAAATGCTTCCAAGGGCTTCTCTAAATATAAGTTACAAAATTTATTCTAATTATAAATTTTTACAAGAGTAGAGTTTAGACTATAGAAAATATTGACTATTTAGTTATTATCTTCCTAATTTGTCTATAACTTAACATATCAGAATAAAACTTTTTAGATTTGATAATATAAATATTATTTGTAAAGTAACTATATAGTATTTAATGACCAAGTTACATATTAATTTTGTAATATACATTCAAG